TTTTTCTGTCTATTCTTGTGATCGTTTGGTAGTAGATCAACATTCACTAGCTGTATAGGTATAAAGTGTATAAAATTCAAATTATATAACAAATCTGTGTCTAATTCTTTGGGGAAATAACTCACTTATGCCTGCTTTTGCTTCAGCTATCGATTTACTTTTTTAAAAGTGTAGTGCAGATCAACTAAAAAAACGAGAATTGCATGATATGAGTTGATAGACGAGTACCTTGTGACACAAGTAAATCCCCTGTATAATACAGTACCCTGATTAGCATCCTACAGCACTTCCAGGAATAATTATGAAACAAAGCATTCCAGTGAAGTAAAATGCTGCAAGGGAGCAGAGTGAAAAACACACATTTCAGCAGAGTTTTTGTTATATTTACCTATATCACTTAGGTGCACTCAAGAGCCTTTATGAGGCATGAACCTTTTAATACTTATATCTGTGGCTGGGGATTTGCCTTAGTACTTCCAATTATTTCTAAGCCTGGTTACCTGACGTATTCCCTTCCTTGCCCAAATCCTCAGATGGAGATTCAACTGTTATCTGTCAGTGTACCCTGCCCTGATAAAAAATTCACACTTACGGCTGTGAAAATTCTGATGATATGGTGAATACATACTGATTTCTGGTTCCTGTTAAGAGCTGTTCCCATATAGCTTCATCTCCTTCATAGTCTCTTAATTTCATAAGAACACATTTTCAATGATAATGTTTCTAATAGTAAAATTATATTATGAATGTAAAATGGCTTAATAGAGCACAACATGATATTTACAATACGTTCAGTGGAAAATGAGCAACTATGTTCTCCACTGAACCCTGGCAACACGTATTCCTTAATTGTGGATGATAAAAAGTTTCCTTCAGCTTTGGGAGAACAAGTAAAGACAATGTTTTCTTCCTACTGAGAATTTCTGAGTTTAAATAAAAAAGGTAAGGATGGAAATAACCATTGCTTACATTGTGTCAGTTACTATGACAGGAATTTTTCACGTTTTATCTTATTTAGTTCCTACTGCAACCTATATAGAAAATTTAGCACATCCATTTTTCTGATGAGGAAATAATGATTCAGAAATCCTAGGTAATTTGGACTAGCTCACACAGCTAGAAAGTAACAGAAGTCTAGTTTAAGCTCATGTTTCTATAAATCTAAAGCCCCTCTGTCAGCACAGCAACTATTCAGGTAACTGAAAATTCTGATGATATGGTCAATACATACTGATTTCTGGCTCCTGTTAAGAGCTGTTCCCAGGTTACTCCCAACTCTGCCAACTTGTACTACTTATCTTTTCCTAATCGCCAGGACTGTATTTCCAGATTCTACCATATATCATGATAATACCAAAAAGTCAATATATGAAGAAAGCAATATTGTTTTCCTACCATAAAGTTAGCCTTTTACTACTTACGAGAGTATTTAAGGGGGTAGAGGCCCAAAGGGTCATGGAGAATATTTAAACAGTCTATTTTTAGTTACCTTATCTTGAAGTACATAAAATTTGAGCTTGAATGTTTAGCATGGAAAATAAAGGACAATTCTAAGAAATTCTGTAGATCAAACCATTACATGAGTATCACTCCAAGGTTTGGAGTCTGAATAAGGAGAAGCTAATTGTGTCATTTTTAGTAGTAAAATGCACTCCTTGGCACCCGAGAAAGTGCTCAATAATAAATGCGAATAAAAATTTGGTAACAGAGAAGCAGTGCTTTCCATTTGCGGAGCTAGTGCCCATTCCCTTCTCACAACGCTAGACGAGGAGACTTGCAAAAGAAGGGACATTAATATGTCAGTAATTTGGCTCCTGTCCATTTATCAAAACAATGCTGCCTGATAGGAATGTTCCCAACTTTGCTGATGGGGAACCTCAATTCCAGAAAGTGAGGCAGGCTGTTCTTCCAGAAATTAGTCATCATGTGAAGGTTTCTAAATTCACTTATGTTTGACTGAAGCTGTTATTAAGCTGCACCCACCCTGCCCTCACTGTCTTGTTCTCTGATTAGTGTACTGGAGTGTATCTGGGGAAACAAATTCATCTACCCTCAATCCCGAAACAAAACACACAAGCAAACGGTGCACCACACCGAATCCGCGCCTCCTTCTGCCTTCGGTAATGCCAGCGTGGTTCTGCCTCACAACAAACGTGCAACATAGGAGACATCTTTGACTTTTTTCTCTTTTAGCTGGTAAATTGCTACATCCCATTGATCCTTCCTTAATTCTGTCTCTTGTATCCATCCCTTCCCCTCTCTTCCTGCTGTCAGCATTCTGCCTTACTACCTGTTTCTCAGATCCTTTTGAAACCTTACTCATGGTCTCTGTGCCTCTGATCTCTCCCTCTAGCAAACATAGTTACTGCTCCGAACTAGACAGTTCAATGCAGTGGTTAAGAGTCTGTATCCTGTACCCTTAGCAACTACTTTAAAAATAACGACTTTATTTTGTTATGAAATTTTGTTTTACCTTCTTTCCATAAAAGAGTCTAGACTCTAGCATGCAAATGAGAGTCCAAATCTCTAAATCTCTGATATAGAATCTGACTTTTCCTCATTTTTACATGATAATCACCTTCTCCTAGGGTTGTTTTGAGAATCAAATCAACCAGTACATATATGATATGGAAGGAAAAATGCCGGGTACAAAGTACTCAATAAATGTGAATTGCTAGTATCATTGTGTATTCTTATGTGTGCTTTTAGTCACGATACTTCATTTGGAGCTGATACTAAAAAGAAAAAAGGCCAGGTCCATACTCTGTGCCTTTGTACACTAAGGGTTGAAATACCAAGCCCAGACAGGATAAAAATACTGAAGAAATGAAGACATGTGATATCAGAATTAAATCAAGAATAAAAGATCATGTGCACCTACCTATGTTCTTTGTTTATCTGGAACCAGTGATACCCTGGTGATCTATGCCCCTATAAAACCTACCAAGCTTGGCCAGAGTAGCAGGTACTGTTGATTAGCAGCTGGTCACTTGATAGAATTAGCCCTATGACATCAAGAAGTTTGACAAAAAAATTCCTAAACATAAAAAAAATAAATTATAGAAAATATGCTTTTGTGCCAGGATTGCCAGTTACTAGTAAAGGAAAAATCAAGTGGGGTGGGGTTTGAAGACAGTAACAGAGACAGATATAAAGACGGAAAAATGTATATAGATACTTACAAGGATGCTTAAACAAACATACTCAAAGGGACATGCACATTCACATAGATAAAGACTTGGATGTCATTAGCTTCCAATTGCATGGCCTTTCCATGGACTTTTAGATACTCTGGCCTATATTATTTTCCTGTGAATAAAAACATATACCTAACCTATAAATATGTTCTCATATCATTCTCATTCTCTTTCTCTTCCTCTCTCTGCCCCTTTCTTTTGTCATCAGTTCTATATGTGTTTATGTACACCCACCTAGAAAAGCTCACATATATACTCATTTCCATTTATATCTTCTCTACTGGGAAGACTATCATTAAAAATTGTAGTTATAAGAGTTAAAGTTTTTTTCCTCAGAAGAACATCTTCAGAACTTGGTTTCTATTTACCTTTCTAGAATCATGTGTTAGTTTTGTCACCAGCTATAGTGTACACGTGTCTGTGTTATGAGTTTCAGGCTATATTGTAAGCTTTTAAAAAATAGGTAGTGTTTTCTACTTGCCATGTGAGTACTAAAGAAAGAAGAGTACAATGTGTAGAACAATATCCTCTCCCTTAAAAAAGCTACTCATATTGTGAGACCTACATAAATATGATAACAGGTAGATATCACCTACCTACTTTTTATATATCTGCCTGCCAAAAGCAAGAAAGCATATAAAAAATTAATAGAAGGCATAAGTTCACATCTGGAGAGGCAGATGCCCATGGCTAATGGGCAAATTAATTTCAAGGAAGAAAAGCTATATGCTACATTTTATTTCTATATTACAGCAGACATGATCTAAGCAACAGTTGATTTGTTACTTTTGAAGGGTACTTTCTGACTTAAAGACTTTTCTTTATGTTGTCAAATTATTTTCATGTTATTTGTGGATATCTCAGTGCCTAGTTTGTGTTCAGCATTTATATTTAAGAGAGGAAGCTGTACCTAGAAAAACTAGATATAATTAGGATAATTTGTTTTTCTTGTGTATGTGCATATATAGGTTCCTGTGTCTACTCCCTCCCATATTTCATTTGAAAAATAAAAACTATTGAAATAATTTAGAGCTAAAGGAAGTTAAAAACTAAAAGTAATTATTATTGTAAACACTATACCAGAGAGAATACAGAATGTGTACCAATACGCCAAAGTGAGTAATTAGAACCAAACCTGAACTGTTTTGAGGAAAACCAACATAGAATTCCTAAAAAATGTACTTGAAAATAAATCATGTGATGGTACCATTACCTAATTACGTAAAATCAACATCTGTCAAGTAGGTGAAATTCATTAGAATATATATAAATATTTAATATATTTTATGAGTAGAAATCATTAGTCTAAAAGATAATAAATTCTCATTCAGTGCTAGTCCTCTGATTTCAAACAGCATAGTAATAGACGCTTTTTAAGGAAATGCTCCACTTACATTTTCTGTCATCATGTACATCTTTTATCTGTGGCTCAACAAATCACTGAACTGAATTTCATATTTCTAAATTTCTGTAATTCCCCTCAGGGACAGATTTTAGCAGCTTGTATGTTACTAATGGCTGGTGATTATGCAATTAACATATAGCAACAGTTCAGCTTCAATAATAGTTTATGAATACTGTAAGGGTGATTTAATTTACTTTAAAAAACTGAATAGCTACCAGTTTTTGAAACTTCACTAAAATATTCCTGTGAAATATTTAAAAGAAACAAAAATATTTTTAGAAACCCAGAATTTTTGTGTATAGAACTTTTACAGTATCGTCTGTGAAATTACTCACACTAAAGAGATAAAATAAACTGCCTTGAATGTGTGTTCTCATAGAACATTTTTTATCTTACAGATGAGCTCAGTGAAAATGTTACGGCCTCGTCTCAATAGCATTCTTTTCAAGCTCACATTTGAAGAACACGTAAACAACATCAAACCAAGCATCATAGCAGTAACTCTGGCTTGTGAAGAACTGAAGAAAAGTGAAAGCTTTAACAGACTTTTAGAGTTAGTTCTTTTGGTTGGAAACTACATGAACTCAGGCTCAAGAAACGCCCAATCTTTGGGTTTTAAGATCAACTTCCTTTGTAAGGTAAGATCACATTTTATACTGCTAATTCAGAACCATGTTGGCTCTAGGAAGGGCTAATCTCAATTCAAATAGTACATAGATAAAAAATTAAAAGTGTCAATTTTATGGCTGGTAACATATCTCAATTAAACTAAGTCATTTAAAAAAAATCTCATTGCAGTAAAAGCGTCAATACTATGCAGATTATTTTGTAGCATGATACTTAGCTCTTGCAGGGTAAATCTTCTCAGCATTTATAGTCCATAGTTTTGTTTAGCTGTTATAAAATGGATGCAGAATTGGGTTTCAACCCCTATATGCTTATTTTATGTTTCTCCAAAAAAAATACTTGAGGAGCTATATTTAATGAGGGAGATAACCAGAAATTTATTTTGGAATATGCTTTGCCCATTGTATTCTAGGAAATAATGCTCTTCATTATTGAATAATAGTGTGTCACTAAGCGTATACTGGTTATTGAATATATTACAAAGAAGGGGACAAAATCAAGTGATAACTATTTTATTGTTTGAATTGAGCCATTTCATAGTATTTTTTTTTTTGAGAGTTTATTCTTGGGAAAAGTAAACAAAGAAACACAGAAGCCCAGATGTGATTCTATATGTCCATTTCTTGGCAAGTGCAAAAGCACCTTATTTAAGAAAAAGATCTGTCTGTTACAGAGAAAAATCTGAACAGGTTCTAAGGTGAAGACCTGTAAGGAAGCTAGAGATAAAAATAAACCTCAAAACAAGCAGACTGTCTTTGACATCTCACCGTTCATTCATTTTTTTTCGCTCGTCTGAAAACATTGCAGAACTCTGGTTAGTTCTTGAAGTATATTATAATAGGGACGGCAAATCTAGGACTGGATGTAAATTTCTTTTATGTTCATACATTAAACAGATGTGCCCTGTATGTTCATGGACTGGCATCTTAATAGGTATCAAAATGTTTTGATCCTTGTAATTTAACCTAAATAGACATAAAGAATACTTACGGATAATAAGATATATGATAACAAAAGTGTGGATTTCTTTTTATTCCGATATATTTGGGGGGATTGTGATGAAAGACAGCAAAGAAAATAGAGAATATTATCTGAACATACCAGGTTTTCTCAAGGAATCGTTTGTATTTCTTCTTATAAAAGGTTGGGAGATGTAAAATTAGTTGAAAATGTGAGGGAAAATAAGGCACTACTTGTCATAAATCAGAACAATCACAGCCAGATTTATAGGATAAAGATAACTAAAATATCATTAGAAATTTATATTAGCTATAAATTTCCCATTTAATTCATATAAAAAGATTTTAAACAAACCTAATTTGAGCAAATATGCCCCTTTATTTTTAAATGTCTTAATTCCATCTTACTGTAATTACATGAACTGATTTCTTTGAAGCAAGAATGAATAAGCCATTTATATACAGGAACAGAACAAAAGATTGCAGCAGTCTCACAGAAGCATTTGGCAGTTACATCTTATATTTTGGAGAGAGGTTTCTCCCTGTCACCTACCTGTCAAATAAAAGTTCTTCCATACAACGCTGATCTGACATCTATCACTAGAGATATGCTCAAAGGATTCAGCACAAAGATTTTTGCCAACTTCAAATGAAATAAAAATAATCTTGTGGGAAATACTATCATGTAGTAATAGGTGTTCTAAAAGACAAAGAAGTAAAGGTTTAAAAATTCCCCCTTCCAGTTTTCAGTAGAATTTTATCCTTTGGGAAATACTTACAGGGAAACACTTGTCATTAATAAAAAGAAATATCATATACATGCATGATATTCCCTTACTGTCTAGGATTAAAAAGATGTTCCTGGAATACAAAGGATTCTGAGTAATGTAAATGTCTAAAATTACAGAAATGTATTGAAGTGCATAGAAATAGCTTAAGTTTGTGTAATCTTTTCAAAATGGAATTAAGTAGTGGTATATGATTAGCTACAATTGCTGTTAAATTTCACTTATAAAGGAATGCTTGGTTGATTTTTCTCTGTGACTTTTTTTCTTTAAAAATATAGCAGGGGAATTACCCATGTAGAATACTAATAATGCTTTAACAATGATACGATTTACTGACTTATATTTTTCTAATGATAATTTCCTTTCAAAGTGATTTTAAAAGTGTGATCCACTGCTTTTCAACACAATTTATAAAGTACTTGAAAATATTCAACTAGTCAAAAAGGAGCCATGATATAAGCAGTTAAACTTACCAGATGTACCTTATACTAGGGTAATGTAAAAGTTCAGATGGTCACCATTGGCTGCTGCGATATTTGGAAAACAAAACAAAACAAAACAAAACAAAACAAAACAAAACAGGTTAACCCAAATGTCAGCACTAAAACGTGTCATTACTGCAAATATATGTGCCGCAGACACAGCGCATCATTATTGCTTGTATTACATTCACCACAAAATACTTTAATTTCAGCAGTGAAATATCACTTTGTGAGTCACCAAGCCACTACGCTGAATTGTAATAAAAATCATTTTAGTGAAGATGAGTTCCTGATGTTAGCTTTTGCCTGTACTTGCCTTTGGTTATTAAAATTCTAATCCATAGCAGTGCTACACTTCAGGCACATTTAGTTTTGTTTTCAGTGTATAATACTATATATAATCTGCATAAGAACAAAGCATTTAAAAGTGCTGAACGCTCCCTGTGGGCTTTGTGGTTATATCAGATATGGATTTATGTTTGCATGCAAGAGAAAGTGACTGACTCTGCTTAATGCAAGCAAAAAATGGAATTTATTCGAAAGATCTATAATAGCTCAGCCAGAAACTGGGGAAAAGCTGAAGAAGTGAGCCTCTAAAAGAACAGCAAAGGGCTGGGGATATAGCTCAGCAGCTCAGTGCCTGCCTGGCAAGCATGAAGTCCTGAATTCTATTCCTGGTACCCACCCCCCAAAAAAGTAAAAGAACTGCAAAATGACAGTTTATAAAATCCCGGGAGTAGAACTGAATAGCAAGTCTTTTAAAGATGTTGCCTTGGGATGTATCAGCTCCAATCACTTTCTTCCTCTTTTCCCTGCTTTTGATTCACATACTAATTAGAGAGACAGGTTATCCTGTTATAGATTACAAAAGCATTCATTGTCTACTGGCAAAGAACCTTGATTCCCAGTGCTATCAAGAGTACTTACAATGGTAGATTGCAAAGCATATTGTTACCAAAGATAAGAGTGCCAAAAGTGAAGGTGTATCAGGCAAGCACAAAGACAGTAAAACAGCAGTGATCTGCAAAACCAAGGGGATACAAAATATACAAAGGCATTCAAAAACTTTGAAAATAGCTTGTTGTGCAGTTGAGTAGCCAGGATATCTACGCATAAAACATTATGTGACATCATGGGTACAGTTGATAAATGCAAAAAATTAATAGACATTGAAATAAGTAGTTCAGAGGAGGGAGGAATCACGGGTGCTTGGGTGTATTTGTAAGTTTAAAACAGGATTTGGAAGGATACTAGGATTAAGGTATATGAAGAGAAGAAGTTATGAGGAAGAGAGAGCATTATGGGCTTAGAGTATAGCTTCCACCTTGTCAATTACTGCCCAGATGTTCATAGCTAAGGTATTTTCCTTCTCTGAACCTCAAATTCTTTGCCTACGAATGAGGACATGCACTGACTCTTATTTATTTTCATTTTTTTGGTTTGGTTTTTTCTGGTACCGGGAATCGAACTCACGACCTTGTGCTTGCCAGGCAGGCGCTGTGCCGCTGAGCTAAATCCCCAGCCTCCTTGTTTATTTTCATGTATTTTTTTCAGGGTCAAATGAAATGATCTACAATATACTCATATGTTAGAATAAGTTGAAAAATCAGGATATTAAAGAAATGATAATAGTTTTTTTAAGGATGATACATAACTAGAAAATATCAAAATGTATTTGAGGATGAATTAGAAAATCACACTGCCTGGAATATTGAGTTCATGTTGGAAACAAGCAATGACACCGGCAGGCAAGTTGTGAGAAGATATTGAGTCTTTTGTACACCAATTTGGGTATCTTGACTCTCTAACTATTTTTGGGAGTCATTCATGGCTCATTTAATAATTTATAAAAGCTAAGAAACTTTTTTGGTATTTGCACCAGAATCTTTTCCCCTCTGCCTTTAGATATTAGTGCCTTTACCTGTATTACGACATTCTGTCCAGTATACTTGGACAGAAAGGTACACCTTATGATACACTATGATGATATGCTTAAATACAGATGTGAAATATAGAAAGGTACTAACAAAAATATGTGGCTTCATTATATTGAAAATTTTAGATATCTTACTGTAGGTTATTAGGATTAACACAGTAATGTAACTGTGCTACATTTATAACATTCACCATTATGTACTGTACAATGTCTACAACAGGAGACCATATCCAAATACAATCACACATTGATGACAGAGTATTTTAGGCATCACCCCCAAAATACAAAGAAACACATGTGTTTCCTCTCTAGAAGTTGTAAGAAAGGAAGTAACATGTTTAGCTTCACTGTGACATGGAACATTTTGTTCCAAAAACTACAGTTCATGCGGAAAAATGACTACTCTGTTTATGGCAATATAATTTTCAAATATATCATTGAGGAGAAAATCTATAAAGACCTAAGACTAAAGATGTATGTAAGTACTCCAAAAATTTCACATGCCTAAACATTTTTTAGACAAAATGATATGGATTATGTCTATACAAACTTAGAATTCTAGTGTAAAAGGATGTCTAGTCTAACTCTTGAGACTACAGTGAGAAAACTGATGCTCAGAGAGATAACATACTTTGGTTACCATATTGGTCAGCTTGGGCTGCCATAACAGTATCACAGGATGGGTAGCTTAAACCATGGGGATTTATTTTATCACAGTTTTGGAGATGAGACATCCAAGATCATGATATTGGTTAGTGTCTAGTGATTCTTCTCTCCTTGGGTGGCAGGTAAACATTTTCTCTTTGCACTCGCATAGGGAGATTATAACATGCAATTCTGTTTTTC